TACCATGAACAACTCTCCTCATTTCGTCACTGGCTTCAGAGAGGTGTGGAGCATGGGAAGTGGATTGTCAGAAACCCATTGTCTTGTTTAATTTATGAAAAAATTGTGTAATTTATCTCACTCGGCATTTTCGGGATACATTTACGAATGAATAACTAGTTTTTGTTCCGGAAGATAAATCAACATATCGAGATCTTGGAAATATTCTTTTGTGTCACGAAACATCGTCGATCTGCACGGATCCGCCAATCCCACCTGGTTATTTTAATCTTTTCCTGACCATTGAGCTCTATACTCTTTACGCATGATACTTAGCTTTCGTTGAACTATGTTAGCTCATCATGGTATCGTGCAGCCATGTTTTTGCATTTCATATCCACTTGTTGACGTTTGACCGCTTGTTTGACCGTTTTCTTACTCGTGACCTTGGTATTCGATGACTAGTAGCTCATCACCGTCGGATTAGAGCTCCACTAACTTCCGTTAAAAAACCTCAGCACGTATGTTAAAGTCTTGATTCAGAAATCATAGCGACACTTTGCTCGATCCAAGAGTCACTTGTTTTTTCACAAACTTCTAGACAGTCAAGTGGGTGTCACGAAGTCTAAGCGAAGCACATATACCTGGATACGTGCAGACCTCTTACTTACTACTTAAGTAGGAAAACTTATTTATTCATCCTGTCACCTAAGTGGATGATTGAGGTGGGATTTAGGTTAATATCCTGACATCCCAGTGACAAGTGAAATGGAAAATGATTATTTTGTGCCTTCTGGGAAGTTTTCATTTTGCCCGTCTTCCCTTGACAGTGCATCATGCCCCCCACCGAACTCCAAACCATGTTATTTACTGTGGTTCCCTACTGTCAATCTCTTTAAAAACAATTTACCCAGTCAGGAACTGTTAAACGCCTTTTATTTCCATGCTTTTCTTTCTTTATTCTATTGTTTTGTACAAAGACACTAATGTGTTTTAATTTCTGCTTCTAGAAAAACCTCAAATTTTACCTCAGTTCTGATCGATATTCTCCGCTTGAAGTTATCCCTCTGTCTACCTTCTCATTTTTCGTTATCAATCTCTCCATGCAGCCCAATTCCGGCCGATATTCGAGCGGGTTCCAGCTTCAAGCATGGCAAGTGGCTGTAGTCCCCGTCGAAATAGATTCGCGCTTGGACTCTGGCGGAACCTTGGAAATTAGTTTGCAGCTAAACGCTTTTGCAGTGACCCGACTGGTAAACAGTACACATTCCCAGGTAGGCTACAACCCTGAATTTCCGGAAAGATGGTTCATCGAGTCGTCAATCGCTCGCACATACCTCCATTGGTACCGTGGGCAGAGTTGTGCTCGTGAATTCTGTCTCTTGTATTTTCCCATTTCATTCCTTCTGTTATTGAATGCACTCAGTGTTTGTACCCGGTGTAGCTTATGTTTGGTGTTTGAGGGAAATGTCAAAGATTTCGCTGAAAATGGTTGTTTGTGGTATAGGTTTTGTTTAGGTGAATAATCTTACACTCTGGTTCTTGCGTTACTCGTTGTAAGCTACATACATGATAATGATAATGAATTTAATCACCCTGCCACAGACCTGTTTTGCTTTACAGTATGATGGTATTTCTAATCTATCTACAGATATGCAGTCTATTTTGAGCATATTACAATCCCATTGTTTTATCATCTATTTCCAAGGTGAAGGAAACAACGGAACTTAGTACATATTCTTACAGGCACAACAAATGCAGCCACAGTGTACATTTTGGTATACATCTTTGGTCGAAAGGTACCATGGTAATAATTGGCGCATCTACGATCCAGTGGGGTGATTCGAGTATCGGTGCTTTCTAGAATCTCTGAGCTGTTTGCCATCAAATTTGTTTCTGACATTGCACATCCCTTGAATACCGATCACTCATATATGCCTGCTTGCCCCACTCCATTAGTACACACAACTTTCTTGATAGAATAAAGTTAACATTTTCCCGAAAACCTTACGGCTTTTGAAATTTTTATCGCAGCCAAACTAGTTAATTTTCGCATCTATTCCGTGGTTATATCGGTTTTCTTTTTTATATAATTGTTTGTTATTATTCAGTAGAAATATCATTTTAAGTTACGCATCACTGTTGGGAAACATAAAGTTGTCATCTTGATACCACATCGATCTCATTGTCCTGGAGATGACGTTAGTGGTCGATCGGTGGGTTCTTCTGTCCCACCATCCCGAAGGTTGTGAGCTCGTGTCCCATGATCGCTATCATCTAACTTTCCTCCTGCTTTGTATAAAAGTTAGATTGTTTGGCCGTTTTCATCAAAAAGCTGAGTCAGTTGTTACCTCTGCTACAGAAACGAAGTATAATTTTAGTCCATTGGCCTATTCGGGAATAGCTTGGCTTATCTCTTCCAATCCAAGTGTCTTCTTTCGGTTAACCCCGTCGGAAAAGTGGTAGATATTTCAAGTATATTACCCATGATTTTTTGTGTTTCAAGTAAACAAAGTAAGTGGATGAAGACAAGCAACTACACATATGGTGCCGTTCACCACATTTAATCCTGCCCCCACCCTCACACTGTTTTTAGCCACAGTCAATTTAGATCTACGGGGATATTCCGGTTCAGTAAATAGATGAATTTGTTGTGTTCGATAGCAGGGAAAAGGTCATATCTGTGTACAAAAATATGTATGTATTCCCAATTTATCGCGTTTTGCTGATTGAGCGGGAGAAGTCCCGGGTAGTGACCATCGAACGGGTTGCTTCCTAGTTAAGTGTATATCATGAAAAAAACGGGCCTCTTCATAGAAACCATTGTACCTATAAACGCTACGTTAACTGTCGAAGCACAGACCCGTTTTGTCAAGTGTTAAGGCGAAGCGAGAGTGACTCAGACGAAGCGCGTGCCGGAGCCAGAGGCGGGGAACTAACTATTCGGTACCGGACTGAGAATGGAATAGATGTAAAGGAGGGGAATAGTTTTTATTTTCCTCATTACAACTCGGTGCTTTGTTTCTTGTCAGCTATTTCCATGAGTCACATTGTGGGCTGATACCACTGTTTTGTAGTTGTTTTGCATACGCATCGTTTATGGCACAGTCCAAGTCGATTATGGGCCCTGAATTATTTGTCTGTATGAATGTCACTTCGGTGTGTGTGTGCGCATGTTCGGTCTCCATGAGGCTTCCGCTCCACCTAACCATGTTTTTGGTCGCGCAAACTTTCTCTGTGAATTGTTCTTCCCCCTGTCTCGATCTCTGCACCTTAGGGATGATTCACACATGCGACTGTCGCCGTTCGCATTCACTTCGCCCTCTGTGTTATTACCCTAATCGAATGGACCTTATCGCACCCGATCAAAATACATCGGAATCGGTTCTGTACTCCCAAAACCCCATGATTGTCAGCTCGATAGGGGTTGGCATTGAAATCTGACGACAATGCTCGTGTTACTGGTGTATGGTACATATGCTTCTTTTAATCGATAGGATATTTTGGAGGACAGTGCCACCTCTTGTCCCGCTAAGAGATTGTCTTTTCTTTTGGGGCAAGAAATCATAATGTTCAAACGATTAATGGAGTATGATAAAGCCAGTTTTCATTTGGAGAATAGGAGTTGATTTGCGCATAGTAAAACAGGTTGCTTTTGTTCAATTGTTTGTTGACCCATCGTTAGTCTCGGTGAATTGCTTCTTTCACTTAGGCAGTTGCTTGACAAATGGGGGGTAAGGTTGTTAAGGGAGTAATCGCCCATATTTCCCAAACTCGAGCAGCCTACACAGGGCAGAAACACCTTCAGTGCCGACGTGATGCTTCACATATACTACACCAGTATGCGATCAGTCTTGTTTTACGGTAGCGAGACCGGCATTTGCTTGTGAAAGATATTCATCGTCCAGAAGTCTTCGACTGTCGTTGTTTCCGTAGTTTGGCGTGGGTTGGATGGGGCCAGAGTGTGAGAAACTCTGAGGTAAGTCGTTTATTTGGTAATGAATCGGTGAAAAATTCGTTGTCATGTAGAATTCATATCAGTAAAATTCGCTGGTTAGTATACCTATTGCGTATGCCCAGCTGTCGTCTACCTCACCGGACCTTATTTTCAGCTGCGACTCCGGGTTCGAGAAAACCACGTGTAAGTTAACAGATAGTGTGGAAACGAAGCATGAAGAAATGCACAAAGCGATTAGGTTAAATAAGTGTATCCCCGCCTTCCAGGTTGAGATCCAAAAGATTCTGCAATTGGTTTGGTGGAGACACTGAGGGATATAGCAACTAACCGACAGGAGTGGCTTTCTTGTTGTCATCTCTTATTAGGTTAGAAGGCTTGGAAATGTTTGTATGCACTGTTAGATTGAACACTCTGTGTGTTAATCATAGAAGTTCACTTTCTTTGCCTCTCTCCAGTCAGACCCCAACCCTATCCATCTTGTACTTTTTCATTTACTTTCTGTACATTATATGCTTAACAGCGATCAGCGAAGTTCGCTTTTTCTGTATCTCGCTGTACAATGATGATGATGATGTTTGAGTTAGCGATCTCTCAATGGGGTGTTTTTCTGTGCCTATCTGATTGGCGCAAGCGTCTAAACGAGGGGTGTGGTTTATCATATCATTAACCCAATAACTAACGGGTTGGGCGAGTGTGTCTGTACGCAGTGCTTCCTTTGTCTACCAAGTCTTAGGACTTGGTAGTTTCTGATCATGTTTTAATAATCACTTTAACTGCGTGTGCGCAGGTGCAACAAAGCAATCCGGAATACAATGTGCAAACCTGCCGTTTTTACATCTGTTCCGGTACAATATGAATGCAAACAATGCTT